ACGCGAGAGGAGTTCGAGAAGGCAGGCGCCGCCAGCGGCCGCCATGGCTTTCATGGCTTTCTGTTTGCGCTGTGTGTCGCGACTTCGCGCTTTCAGAGAGGCGTGCGACCTTGCGATGTTGCAGCTGGAAGAGAATCCATGAAGAAGGATTGTTTTGTACAACCACACATCTAGCAGAATCTACTCGTACTCGTAGCATGTTCTGGAGCTCTAGGATTCTAGTCAACCTGTGTAGTTCGAAGTGTGCAGCCGACTACATGCTATGGCCGCCGTGGAGACTGGTGAAGCGGCACAGATGCTTATCCCGAACTTATGCTTCGAGTGGATCCTTTTGTGGTATTTGATAAGCCGAGCTGAGCGAGCAAGGAAGCGGCCCAAGGGGTCCAAGACGGTGCTCCTGGGATCCTCCAGCAAGTGGCGCAGGGCGATCTTCGCGCGCCGCGCTTTTCTGCATCAGTCGTCCCAGTCACTAAGATCAAATTTGCTGTGCCGTTGCTCCAATTCGAGGCAGCACTTTCCGGAATGTGGGTCAGACTACCTCAGTCCAGACATCGATGAAAAGGCTTGGTTCTGACTAGCCGGTTCGCTTGAATTAATAATTGCCCTTGGAGGCTATTCGAGCTGAGAAGCCGGAGGAGATGTGCATGGCCATCGCCAGGGCAAAGGCGCTTGCGAAGTGAACTGTATGTGATTCAGGCTGGTGGCAGTGTTTTCGACGAGGCCGACGCCCTCGCTCCGAAAGTAAAGGACAGAGACGTCTTGCTGGTTTGCATGGACCAGGCATCACCGGCTCCAGTGGGGGAAAGACTTGGAGTCTTTGAGTCGTGTTTGGAAGCACATTGACCATTGGAAGGGGCAGTTGCGAGGTGGTCAGTTGCGACGGGCAGATCAGAGAAAAGCCGGAAACTGAAGCAGAGGCGGTTGTGGAGCACACGTGTTTTCACGACAAGCACCAAAGTCCACGGCTTTGCACAGCTTCAGGCGAGGCAGTTCCTGGAGTCCTACAGGTTCCGCGGCTTCCAGGGTCTTTGCCGTGGCATTGACCGGGCTGATTTGGTCCAGGCAAGGCAAGCATGCCAGCTTCATCAACGGAATGGTTGTCCTGAATGCAGCAACTGGCAGGCCCCGGTCATTTGTGCCATTCGTGCATTCGTGCTGTCGTGCAGCTGTTGTCGACAGGTGCGCCTCGTCCTTAAACTCATCAAAGGCATTCTGGAAAATGTTTCCGGATGAGGCACAACATCGGTTCTTGGATGTGAGCAACATGGAGTTTTGTGCTCGAGGAAGGATTCTCGACCTGGACTCTGGAAGTGCGGTGCTGGCTTTCCCATGTGCAGGTCGTAGATGCCTTGATCAAGAAGGGCGACTTGTTCACGTGCGCTGGCGGAGTCGTGGTTGGGGCCTCATGGTTCCCAGCTGCATGTAGCACACTTCGCTCACCAGATGGCAGTCGTGCCAGGTTGAGGATGAGCTGCTTCAACCGTACCTACGTTGCATAGAGGCCCCTTCCCGCTGCTCTGGTGCCAGGTAGCCTTCAGAATCGTTGCCAGGGAACGGAAGACTCCGTGCAGGGTCTTCCCCTGAAGCCGTTGCGCATGCTGCTGGCACGTGCTCAAGCTCCGGCATCGGCCTCTGGACCCCATGCTGTATGTACTGCACGTACTGTAGGTACTGCACTGTCAGCTTGTTGCCAGCTCATGCAAGGGCCAAAGCATCGAACTTTGCAGCTCAGGCTGTGACACATGTCATCTTTGACATGGATGGGCTGCTCCTGGACACGGAAAGCCAGGGCCTTTTCCAGCGGCACATGCTGAAGCTGCAGCAAACCCCTTGTCAGGCTCCTACAGTGTCGCTCAGCAGGAAATCCTTGACAGGTGGAATAGGTGCGGCCTCAGCTCCCGGGCCGGGGCGAAGCGGGGCGAAGCGGGCGAAGCTGCTTCTTTGGTCTTGGCGAGTTGGCAGGAAGTTCACGTGGGACCTGAAGGCAAAAATGATGGGCAAGAAGGCTTGGGTCCAGCCTACGGGTTTGGGTTTGTTACTTTTGGATTGGACGGGTCAGATGCACGAATGTGGACAGCTCTGTGGGAGAACGTCCGATGGGACCTTGCGGTATGCCATGTGACAGCAGTCCCGCGAGGCTTGTGGCTCACAGCTGAGAGCAAGACTGGACAAGCTATCGCCAATAATTGTCGCACGCGGAAAGGCAAACAACCTCACCCTGGCAATATAGACTCTAGGCGTAGTGACGCAAGCTCTGAATCCTAAATAAATTCACAAGTAGCGTCCTATAGCAGATAGAGCAGAGACTTAGCCGACTTAGCCTTGCCAGGGTGACCAGAAGCCAGGCCATCGCCCATGGTGTCGCAAAAGACGGCCGCCCGGCCCCTTTTTTTCTCTTCTCTTGCTCAGGCCAAGGCCATGGAAAGCGGCTTCGAGATGGAGAGCCACCAGGTCACCGAATCACCATTCGAATCGATGCCTTTGCATCAATGACGAAATTCTGGCAGGTGGCTGGGCTGGTACTTCTTGTGCCACTTCTAGTTGCTCTAGCGTTCTATGCCCGGAGGCGTGGGCGCAGCTTGGGCATGCGTTGCACGCACGGTGCAAAGCTCGTGGACATGTCTGTATGTTTGCAGATCACTTCCGGGCAAGCTGAAGAACAGAGGGAGCTTTGAACATGAGGCAGGAGAAGTGATGCAATCCTGCAGATCCTGCTGCTCGAAAGAGCTACAGCACCTGTCTCTCTGCCACTTTTCACTGCGATCACCGAAGTCCATGGTGGCATTCCCCTTGCAGGATCCTGCAAACGCGCAGTCCATGTCAGAGCGGCGGCGTGACTTCTGCCGCATTGTTGCAACAAAGAGAGTGCTTTGCCTGCAATTGGGCGATGAGACTCGGGGCTGAGTCGCAAGTCTCGGGGCACCCTCTTGGATCATAGTGGCCAGAAACGTCGGGGTCAAGAAGCGCAGGTAGATACCCTGACAAAGGGGACACGCTTCTGCACGCTCGCAGCAGCTTTCCCAGAGAGTCGGCTGCCATGTCAGGTCAATTGTGTTTGGCAGTTTCCTCCAGCCGGAAGGTGTTCAGAAGGGCTCGCAACACAAGAAATGGCGATTGACAAGTATCACACCCGTTTCTAGAACGTGCACTGCTTCACTGCTTCACTCGTGACGACTCCCCGCATAAGCTCATTGGCCCGACTGTCATTTTGCATGCCACTGCACTGCAACTCTTGTCTGAAATCACTTATTCTATTCCTTGCAGAAGACGCAGGGTTCACCCCAGGCCAGCTTATTGATGCGCAGGTTTGCTCCTTTAGGGCTTCGCCTGAGGACCTTTGGGTCTTCACGGTCGAGGAGCGCCAGCCTGGTCGATTCCTCCCAATCGATTTTCCGCCGGGCATGAGCCCAGAGACTGGCGACCCAGCTGCGGAGAAGGCGGAGAAGGGCTTTCGGAGCACTTCAGAGCCTGTGACCTGCGGTGAAATTCTGTTCAGCAGAGCTTGCCAGGTCTGCTATCAGAAGCTCAAATGGCATCGGCCTGAACACCCTGTGCAGGGTATGCATGAGAAAGAGGACTTGCGGTTTGTCAGCGGGGTGCATGAACGTCTCATCGTCTTGAGCAGCTCCTCAGACTGGGCAATTCAGGTGGTTGCAGCAAGAACTGGGACGCATCCCTGGTGCAATCGATCTTGGAATGACATCGCAGTGGGCGGTGGTGGATCGAATCATGTATTTCATCAGCGCCAGCCCCGGCTTTGACTTTGTGATGCAACACAAAGTCCCCCCGCGGATTCTGCAGCCGAAGTATGTTGTGCTCATTTCGAAGGCGAGGCAAGAGAGCACGTGTTTACATGCATGCGTCGTCTCAGGCTTGTGTGATCGTAGAGCAATGCTTGTGCAGGGTGGACAAGTTCGAGTTGCTTGGTTTGCGTTCGTGAGCAGCAATCCAGAGCCGGGTGCCACTTCTGGGCCATTCGTAGTGAAGCTTGTGAGCGAAGACCTTCGGTCCGCTGACAGAGATGCAAGAACATTTTCCAAGTTTTCATACACAGCAGCAGCTGCGCAGAGTGCAGACATGGAGAAAATAATTTCAGGCATGGTGCCCCAGATACTGCAAGGTATTGATTCAGACAGATGGAATGCCTTCGAAAAAGCCTAGGCCTAGGTCCATTTGATGCCAGAGGTTGCCACAAGTGCTTGCCGAGAGATTTCAGGCATTCCAGAAGCCATGCCCGTGCAGGGCAGACATTTCGCTATGCGAACATGCATGTGGCGAAAAGGACGCTGCATTTCTATGTTTGTCTTCATTAGTGCAGAGTCTCCTCTCGAAGGTTGCCTCTGCATCCGCTCGTCAGGCACTTGATGCTTGCCAGATTTGCATCGACGAGCTGGAGTGGGTGCTATCGCTGTGACAGTGCGAGAGATTTCAGATTTCCCTTTTACCCGTCGAAGACGCGAGGAGCTGTCGGATCTGATCTCGGCCGAAGACTTTCTCGCAGAGCGAGAGAAGAGGCGGACGCGGATGCCGCGGATGCGGATGCGGGACTTTGGCATTGGACTGCCAGGCTGGAGGTCCTTTTCGCAAAAGCGGCCCTCATGCCTGGAGTTGCGCGACTGGTGCGACACCTTCACAGGCCCAAGCACACGCTTCACTGCCGCCACCGTGCGCCAGTCTTTTAAGCAGGAGCGGCGTGCCGATGGCCGTGGCAACGTCCTCCCATCGTCGCCACTATGACCTGAAGACCAGTCTGCATAGAGAACTTTTTGGTCTCATGCATCACGTTGTGACGGGGGACCAGGCAGGACATGTCAGCACTGCAAGTCTACGAGACCCTTTGCCTTGAACTTCCTGTGAGACTCCGGCAGGTCAGCAAATCCAAGCCAGATCCGCAGATTTTTAGCCATGCTGCCAGCCTTTTCGATGGGATGCCAGCGGCTGATACAATCCTCGTCTTCGAGGTGCCTTCGGTGCCTTGTAGTCCGACGGCGGTAAGAATTCATGTGAGGACGCCCCGAGCGGTGTAGAGGCAGGTCTTGCTGCAGGGATGCAGGCCCGCCTGCATCCCTCTCACAGTACCTGGGTACCTTCAACAACTCCGCACACCGATCTAGGTCTGTCACGTTCCAGACATCAATCTTTCTCGTGACTTGTGTGGACAAGCTCATTGCGAGCTCCTCTCTTTAGAGGAGACTGGTAGGAGCCCGGGAGCATTCTTCAAGTGCTAAATCCAGCATGAGGACTTTCGCCCAGAAGAATGGGGCCTGCCTTCATTCTGACGTGATGCTTGCAAAGCGCAGCGGTGAAAATAGAGATGCTGGTGAGTTCTTGCCGTGGTGATGTCTGACTTCCTCTAGCGAGCAACTTTCGTGAGATAGCAGTCTTAATTACTTGTTACTGCAGGCAATTCGGCAGGGAATCGTCAGCTGAGTCTTCGCTCCGTTCTGAACTCTGATCAGTTTTCGGTCACTGGTTCGACATCCAAGTTTCACGGTCCTGCGAATTGCCAGCGAGCCATTCAGCAACTCTTCGGTGAGCGCGAGGAACTGCGCAGCAGCGCCAAGCGTTCGGCAAAGATCTCCTGTCGATTTGCTGTGACATTGTTCATAGAAATCATGCTGGAAAGACAGCAGGCAATCGATTTGAATAATCGCCACGTTGGGAAAGCTGCCGACGCACTGAAAGCTGAAGCGTCCGTGTGAACGTAAGCAGCATGCGGCAGATGCTGGTTGCCTGATTCTCGCATGCAGCCGTTCATATTCTGGCCACCAACGTTCAATGTTTGCATGAACAGGGTGTGATTTCTTGGTCAAACGTTTTGAACCCTCGTTTGCTAAGGGGATTGTTGGAAAAACTGGAGGAGGATAGGTTCATAGGTTCTCCTGGACTATGCCAAGCAAGAGGCACTAAGGGACGTCAAGTCCGTAAGGGCTGCGTGTGCCATCGGTGTCCGCTTTGAGCCCGATGTTGGCACTGCCAGCTCCGGGGATCGGAGATGATGTCTCCAAGCAAGAAAGAGTCACATTTCCCCGCTGTGCTTTGGGTCTCCAGTGACTGAATGCAACTGAGGTGGCGCAGGTTCTTTGTGGCATCCTGCTGCGGTCGCCGATGCCTCAGTCGATAGTAGGGGATCTTACTTGCAGCAGACATGGCAGTTTCAGCTTAGGCGAAGACTAGAGCCGGCGGGCCATGCCTTTCATGCAATCCACGAGAAGCACAAGATCAAGGCTCCAGCGGCTCTGAAATCTCGAGATGAGCAGGCTTTGTGCGGCGATTTTGCGATGTCATGACAGGGGCCCAAGCAGCGGGAGAATCGACAGAAGGCCAGGCAATGCCAGGCAGAAGCCGAGCCTTATTCAACTCTCACGAGGACGCTCTCAGCGACGAAGAATCACCTCCGCCGGATTCCTGGAGGAGCGCTTGCTTATGTGGCGACGTGACTGTATATGGTCGGCCTACCAAGCTGGACTTGACAGGAAGAAAAAGAAAGAGGGGAGCGGACGAACGGGTGCGTTGAGGCTGAGCCCTCTGCTGACTGGCGATGAGCTTAGTTTCGTGGAGGATACTATGTTTTGCTAGCGGAGCCCATGCCTTGAAAGTTCAATTTGCCCCATTGAATGTGCTCCAAAGGTGAGAACTTGTACACGTTGCTGGAAGTTAACGAGGCAGCCTCCGTGGAGGCTTCGTGTTGCCAGCACAGGGCAGAGTCGACTCTAGCTGCTCTAGCTCGCACCACCCCGTGCAGCAAATCAAGAAGCAATACCGCAAGCTGGCTCTTCAACATCACCCTGACAAGCAAGGCAGGCGTCCCTTGAATATTTGTTCGTCCAAAAAGTCCTGTACCAGGGGATACCGAAGAGAAAGGAAGCGGTTTGAGTGAAAAGGAGCGCACACACATACACACACAGCGGCTGGTCGCGTCGCTCTCCAACCTCTTGCAACAGTTGTCGGTCCTCTAGGACCAGCACTTCATCAAGATACAGGAGGCATATGAGGCCGCAAATCAGCATCCCGCCGTGGCTTCAGTCAGTTAAGGATTTGCGCACGGCCCACGGCGCTGCACAGGTGCTATCGGACCAGGCGAAGCGGCGGCAGTGACCTTCTTGCTGCCAGGCCGGCCCCGTGCCAAGATGTGCCATGGAGGTACGACTCAACGCTTGACTTCGACGATGCGATTCCGGAGGAGGTCCGAACCACTGAACCCTTTGTCGTCGGCATGTGATCTTCTAACATCCTCTCTACAGTCATCTTTTGGGGGAAGACGGGAAGACGGAATGCGTTGCAGCGCAGGTCTCCGAGTCGGGCGGTTTCTTTGACACCTTTGGACCGGTCTTCAGACGAAATGCACGCTGGAGCACGAGGCCTTGGAGGCCCTGCCTTCGGCTTTCTTGAGAGTCATCTTCGGAGGTTTCCTGTGCCCGAAATCGGTGACGAGAACACGGACATGGTAAAGGTTCACAAGGCTTTTGCATGCATTCGTGTGCTTCATCCCTGCACCGCAGGCGACTGTTGCTTCTTTACTTGCCTCCGAGCCTCCTCAATCACCTGTCTTTTGTCTGTCCGCAAGCATCTTGATAAACGAAACTCACGATTCGGGGTGGCTTGTGTACTGTGCAACTCCACCAAACGAAGCCATCGAAGCGACCGAGTATGCTTTAAAGATGCAACACATGATTACATAATTACATGTGTGATACTGACAGAGCTGCATGAGCAAGTGCCGTCGGGATCATGGGCTCGATCGGGTCATTGCAAGTAGCCACCCATCTGAAACCCTTTTGCATCAGTTCTATGACTTCTGGCTGTCCTTCGACTCCTGGAGAGATTTCTCCATGCACGATGAGTGTCCCTGCACATCACGACGAGCAGAGTTACCCTTGTACCTTCAGCATGAGAGGTACAATCTCGATGATGCAGAATTCCGCGAGGAGCGGAGAGCCGCCAGCCACGGCCGCCTGGAGAAGTCCTTAGTCCCTAGTCTGTCCGTGCAAGGAACGGCGGTGGATGGAACGACAGAATCAACGACTTCGCAAGAAGTGACTCCGGCCTCGGCAGTTTCCACATTCTACGACAAGTGCACAGGTACCTTGAGGCTGAGAGGAAGAGAATTATGAGGCTTGTCGAAACGGCCAGGAGCCTAGAAGGGTTTCAACTTGCCTTTGCGGACGTAGTACATTTTATAGTGTTGGGCTTGGTTTCATTCTGGCACCCTCACGCTGGCCCGGAGCAGAAGTGGAGAGATGAGTGCTTGCTTGGGCGTGCATCCGAAACGGTCACTTGTGACATGGCTGCTGACTGAAGGCAGAAAGACTAGATCCTCGAATACGAGCCGAAAGAGAGGTCCACTCACATCCGCAGGCTTTCCCTGTCATGTTTCAGCAATGTCTTGTGAGGCTCGGGAGAAGAAGAAGCGTGAGGAGAAGGCTCGGGGGCAGGAAGGGGCGAAGGGGCCCCGAGATTCAGTGCTTTTTCACAGGCTGGGCTCAGGGCACGTGGCCGGATCTGCAGACAGGGTGCAGAGCGGCTGCGCAGCCTTCGTCTTGTGCCCTACGCAGTCCCCAGATTCCCCAGCTTAGGAGCAGAGGAAGCCCGGCCTTCTTGCATTCAGGCCGAGGACTGTAAGCTGACCCCTGCGACTGCAAGCCATGAAGACCGAAGCATATGCGCGTGCATGCACTGGCTGCACTCACTCCACAATAGTCCCTGATTGCTGAGTGCAATTGCATGAGCCGGGGCGATTGCTCAGCCGGTTTATAGAGCAGTTCTGAGGAGAGAAGAGCACGAGCAAAGCAGGAGGAGCAGGAAGCAAAACAAAGAGAAGAGGAGGAGCCGCTCGGCGGTGTCTTTTGTATCCTCCAAGTAGAATTCCTGCTGCTCCGTCAGGAAAAGAAGCGAAAGGCAGAACAGGAAGAAGCCGAGAGGGTGGAGAAGGCCGGGGCTGAGGCTTAGCGACATGCATTGAGTGTGCCGATGGACACTGTTGCCCAGGAGCGCGTGTTGCGCGAGCAGCGGAAGCAGGACAAGCAGGTGCCCTCAGAAGCAAGATGAAGCAACGCAGCCTTGTCAGTCGTGCCGACACGCACGCGAGGTGGCCAAGACCTTGAGGCAGCGCTTCAAAAAGATTGTGCAGGGGAAGTGCACTCTGCAGCAGCTGGAGATCGAGGAGTGATTGGTGTGGATGGCTGTAAATGCGAGTTGTGGAAATTGTTGCCGTCTCATCTTCTGTATGTGAGTCGCTTGTGATATTGGCCAACTCGCAACTACAAGTACTGGTATTACAAGATAGGGATGGCCGAGCTGCAGATGACATGACTGCCACCGAGCCGGGTGGATCGCAATGGGGTCTCAAAGCGGTTTAGGACTCAGTATCCGACTTTCCAGGCCAGGTGTCCTGTAAGGTGACGACATGTGTTGTCTGGTTTAGATACGCCGTTGGCCTTGGCCTTCCGGGCTTGGCCCTTGCGGGTTCGGGATCTGTCGCAAGCATGTCACATGTTTACTTGAGCTGAGCTGGAGCTGATCTTCCGCGGAGGAGCTTCAAGACTTCTGTCTCCTGATGGATGCTGAGAAACTAGAAGATCTGTGCATTCATCTTGAGGCCGTCCTGCCGTGAGAGTCGCAAGTCGTTTGAATACAGCGGCTTGCAGGGAATAGCCGATGTCAAAGAGTCGGAGGCCTTCGTTCGCTCGGAGCTTTGTGAGGCAAGCAACATGCCGTTGCCACTTGCTGCTTCTATCAATCTGTTATGCATTTCTGACACACCAGTTCCCATGAATTTGGCAAACTGAAGGGTCGTCGGTACACCCTGATGACATTCGGCCGCTGTTGATCAACATGTTGCGCACCTCCCAGGTCAGACTTTGCAGAACTCTATCTATCTTTTGCAAAACAGGGTCCAGTGCCTGTCACACCATGACTGAAGAGCTGTGCTTGACCCGAGCACCTCCTGTTCGCCCTCACCGAGTGGCACTGGGGCTACAGTGCCGTGTTGTGGCAATCATGCCAAGCCACCTTCCCATCAAGTTGACTTGCATTGAAGTGGCCAGCCCTCGACGACAGACACCCGACGCGCGATAGCACGATCAAGCAGCCCCTGTCCTCAGCAGCAGCGACTCGAAATAGTTAGGCTGGCATTGAGGTGTGGCATTGGGTTAGCAGATTATGCTATGGATTCGCAGACTCGACTTGACACGCTGGGCCGGAAGACGGTATACGGCACCATACATCCTCAACTCTTGCCAAGCCAGCTAAGCCAGCTAAGTTCAACTGCCGCTCAAAG